CCAGGAGGCGGAGGTTGCGGTGAGCCGAGATCGAGCCATTGCACTCCAGCCTGGGTAACAAGAGCGAAACTCTGTCTCAAAAAAAAAAAAAAAAAATAGCAGGGCATGATGGCATGCCCTATAGTCCCAGTTTGTGAGCGGGCAGGGGGTAGTGAGGTAGGAGGAGGATTGCTTGGGCCTGGGAGGTCAAGGCTTCCATAAGCTGTGATTATGCAGCTGCACTCTCTAGCCTAAGCAACAAAGGGATATCATCCGAAAAAAAGAATTTAAGTGTAGCATGGATTAGAATATCAACTTGTTGAAATCAACCTTTGCCAGAGACAATCTTTGGTGTTCTAAGGAAAAGGCTGCCATGCTGGAGATCCATCATCTCTCCCTTCAATTTGTCTTCAATGACATCAACAAGAGCAAGTTCATCTGCCAAGTCCTAAAAGACATCAAATCTTTAGTTAAATGGGAAATTGCTACTCCTAGATTTTTAGAAGAGCATGAAAAATTTCTCTATTTCGGCATAGGAGAGTTCTATTACTTTATTAGTACAGTATTGAGATACACTTCAAAGTAGGGGCAGGACTTCATTTCACAAAGGCTGACTCACAGATTACCCGATAGGTAGATGGTACTGACCCTCTCTCCCCATTGAAGCAAGCTTTACAGGAGTTCCACCACTGCAGATGTGGAAGCAGAACACTGGGTTAACAGGTGCTAGAATAACTTCCAATTGGCTGGGTGCAGTGGCTCACACCTGTAATCTGTAATCCCAGCACTTTGGGAGGCCGAGGCAGGCAGATCACAAGGTCAGAGTCAAGACCATCCTGGCCAACATGGTGAAACCCTGTCTCTACTGAAATATAAAAAAAATTAGCTGGGCATGGTGGTATGTGCCTGTAGTCTCAGCTACTCAGGAGGCTGAGGCAGGGGAATCGCTCGAACCCCGGTGGCTGAGGATGCTGTGAGCCAATATCATGCCACTGCACTAGAGCAAGACTCCATCTCAACAACAACAACTTCCAATTATATAAAACTGCTCTACCTACTCTCTCAAATTCCATCCTGCACACCGATTTTAGATTGTTATTCATTTAACTAGGTGATGTTGACCAGTATCAAGGCTTAAAATTATTAAGAAATGTTCTGGCTGGGAACAGTGACTCACATCTGTAATCCCAATGCTTTGAGAGGCTGAGGCAGGCGGATCACTTGAGGTCAGGAGTTCAAGACAAGCCTGACCAATATGGTGAAACCCTGACTCTACTAAAAATACAAAAAATTAGCTAGGCGTGGTGGTGTGCTCCTGTAATCCCAGCTACTCAGGAGGCTGAGGCAAGAGAATAGCTTGAACCTTGGGGGGAGGCAGAGGTTGCAGTGAGCTGAGATGGTGCCACTGCACTCCAGCCTGGGTGACAGTGAGGCTCTGTCTCCAAAAACAACAGCAGCAATAACAACCCTCTGAAAGAACT